AAAAAAATCAAACTTTGAATGATTTTATTGATAAAAAAATGGTAAGTATGAAATTAAGTAATGTATTATATCAAAGTGAATTAAACATTGATGTTTATCTTGTCATTTAGTTTGGTTGGTTATTGTCAAGAAATTCTCATTAAACTGTGGAGCTGAGTAAAGGAGATTTGAATCCATCAGAAATTATCAATTCCTCTTGAATATTACATATATGGTTTACTAACGAGTACCAATTGACTTGCAACCTAAGTTCAGGACTTCTTACTAAAACATCAACTATATGGTAATTTATTACCACAGTCTTATATTGATAGTTGTGTATATTCGAAATAGATATTCACAGTGTTCTTTATTGAAACGGATAGAGTCGTTTACTGTTCAACAGTACATGAAGGGTAACTTATAAATACAGCATTTTTAAAGTGAAGTTTGCAAATAAATAAATAATTAACAACTTTTTTTAATTATGACAAATATAGTTTTTAATATTAAAGTGAACTTGTTTAGTAAAGCATTGATTAATTCATTTTTATGTGGTTCGTTTGAATCCTCCCATTGATGTTAAGGACTGAAATGTATCAATCTCTTATTGGCATATGTGCATCCTGTGCGGATTGCCTCGATATTGCATTAAGTTACAAACAGTATAAACAAAGATGGATGGTGGCTAGCAGTGGGATCCAGAACGTGCGTTTTGTCTTATTTGAGACTATGTAGTTGGATGCACTTGGATCCCACAGTTGATGTATAATCCGGGACTCGAACCAGTAAGAAGTGAATTAAACTTCACTATATTGCATAAGCTAGTCGTTAGTTGGACTCAGCAGCTAAGTGGACAATGAGATAGGGTACCAAAAGAGTCGTACTAGGTTCGCGTTATGAATTCCATTCCCAGCCACCATCCATCTTCGCTTACAAAATATTGACTAGCTGTGCCATCATAGTACGGGACACTTCATGAGTTTTAGAAAAAACCGAACTAAATATAAGTGGATAATTGATTGTGATTATTGATATGCAGTGTAAAGGATGGTCCGTTTTATGTTAATCTTTATGTACAATACGTATCCATCATGGATTTATACCAATTGAGTTATTATTCAAAGTCCGGGAGCTTCGAATAACTGTTCCATTCTAGTATGTGATACCTCAAAAATCCCCTATAAACTACGCTATAAGAAGTTAAATACACAATCTTCGGATCTTTTGTGATTGTCTGACTATCCAAACCACTGAAACCGTATCTAGTGGTACAACGATTTTCGTCACCTCGTGATATCAAATATTACAAATTAAAACTATTTCATTGTTAACATGTCTGAACTTCATCGGTCACAACTTTGAAATAGAACTTCAGGAAGTTGGAACTGTAACATTGGAAACGGTTTCAGTTGTTCGGATGGTCAGACAGTCACAAAAAGATCCGAAGATTGTGTATTTAACTTCTGATAGCATAGTTTGTAGGTGTTTTTTGAGGTATCACATACCAGGATGGAACAGTTATTGGAAGCTCTCCGATTTTGAATAATAACTCAATTGGTATAAATTTGTTACTAATATGGCATATGGATTTCTCAAAGCACTTGACATTGGCCAGATAATATCGAAAGTTTACTGAAGCTACAAATATTAATCAGTGAAACTCATGACACTGTCTCTTTTATGCCTGGAGGTTTCTAACCTGCTCATCGGTAGGATCAGATGATGTTCAACTGATATCCAGTGCTGTCTATTTCAAGATGATTATTTAACTGAACTAAGATTGTAATGTGAAACTATTATTGCTCTGAACAATTTCCAGGAATATTCTAACATACCGTCATCAACTAAATGATAGTGAATTTTCTTAGCTCATAGATAGTCATTACACACGAAAATATCGTGATAATAATAATAATAATAATAATAATAATAATAATAATAATAATAATAATAATAATAGAGATTACTTTTATTACTGCCAACACCAACGATACTAACCTGTGTATTTACATAACTAATGAAACAAATGGTTTATGAACGATTATATAAAGGCCTGTAGATCATGGATTCGGTCCCTTGAGTGGTTATGGATATTGATTACTGAAGAATCCTGAACTGTGATAGTATATTCATATAACCCCTCTTGGTTTTAACAGTTCTACAAGATATCAATCTGTGTCGAAATCAAACTTCAAATTAAAAAATGATCTCGTTTTCACTTTTGTTCAGTATCAAGATGGATTCCTGATATTCTAATGCGAAGTTGTAATAAATTTAGTTCCGTCATATCGAAAATGAGATAGGTGTTAACGTTGGTCGAGGCATATATTTCACTGAACTCAGAAATGTTAAACATTAGAATGTAACCCAGTTTTCTAAACGGTATCATGCTTGCTGTGAGCCAAAGAATTTTTGTCGAAGAGAGGCTTGATCTTAATTCGCTGATTGCTGTCAAACAATCATAAAATATATGTTCTAACAGAATTTATTTCTACTAATCACTCTGATCATTAAATAAATTGTGTAACGTTTATAAAAGATGAGTAGTGGTTATTAGGGAAACCCAAAGTATATATTTCATCCCTTTTAGAAATCTTCTGATCTTAGTGCTGATGCTAACAGTCAAACTTAATTCTAATAACCATTGTCTCAAACATTACGGCATTATTCATTGAACTACGGAGTATGGATAATCGCTAGTATTCACAACTGTCAAGTGTTCGACTTGTAAGAGTTTGTAATTTTCTCTTTTTTATGTTGAGCAATTGGTATACATGTGTCCTAAGAGGATTTATTTAATATTGACTTTAAGTATGAAGATCATCATTGAAATGCAAGAATATGCTGATGACGTATTCTAATTAAATTTCACTACCAGTTACCCAGACTTGTGAATAAATAACAATATCAATTTCGGTAATTTGTGGAGATTGTAGCATTTTCAAAGTTGAAATTACGAGTTAATCTAAGGTAGACTACCAATAAGAACTTGGAAGCAATGGAAAGCTGTTTCATCCTAGTGTGTAACTTGTCAGAAGTGCTTCCAGTTTTTCAATGGTAATCTAACTTAGATTGACTCATGAATTCAACTTTGAAAATAACAATATCGTAGTAGTCCTCTGGAGATGTAAGGATTAAATTAAATGAACAAAGAATTATTTACATGGAAAAAAACAAAGTACAGGAGACAATATTAACTTATAGATGATTGTATCTCGGTTTCTTGATGAGAAAGATTAGATATAATTATACAAGTGTTTCAACCTAATCTTGAACTCATCAATCAAATATAGTGGTTAATCTCATAATCATATACATATGTGAGATCTAATGTTGTTGTTTTTTACTTTAAGATAGATACTAATGTTTTTTTTGTTTCTATGTGAGTTTATTTTTTTTATACCAGTATGTACGTAAATATGTATGTGAAGAGTGAAGATTATGTTGAGAAGACGAGAGGGAGGAAACTAATATTTGTTTGGTTGTTTTTCTTGTATAAGATTTCCGACAAGTGGTAGTTTATCCCGATAAATACAACACATGAATGAACTGAAGTTAATGAGAAGAAAAACCAAAATTAAGAGTATAGTGATCGAACTGTTGATATTTTGTTTGTTCGTTCGTAGGTTAACGTATGTATCCATGTGTACTTAAAAACTAAAACAAAGCGATTGTTGCCTATAAACAATGAGTTAGAAGGGGAAAAAGGAAGGAAGGGATTAAGAATATATGTGACTGAGATGTGATTCAATTGAGGATATGAATCAGTACCAACATTAGAACGAAAAAGAAACGATCATTATTGTTTTTCCTATTTTTCTTGTAAATTTACCTTGGTGATTAGTACTAAGTATGTGTGAAGAGAGCAAATCGCGTGCATGAGTATCGCTAGAAAAAACTATTGTGTGTATATATGTATGTATGTATGTAATTGTTGACTGTGCACTTGCACAGGCAAAAACTGAGTTGATAATCATAAACGTACGTCGAAAATCTCTCACCCCCACTTAAAGTTGGGTAAATGTATGTTACTTGAATATCTCATGTGTTAAGGATTTTATGTTATATTAAATAATAGTTTAACTGAACATTAATACATTTTGTTCGCAGATGATCTTTTGTTTATGTGTATTTGTGTGTATATGAATTGATTGACCTATGTTTAGTATCCCATCAACCTTTTTTCTCTTCCTCTCTAAACTGTCATTTGTCGAACTAGAAATGAAAAAAAAAGAATAGTAAATAGGTAGTCAGATGTAAGCTTAACGATAAACAAGTGAAAATTATTATCAATATCTCTTTAAGATTTAACCATGGTAACTAAGAGACATCGTTATTTCAGATAGGTTATTGATGTATATATGATTTATTAATTACAATAAATAATCTTAACACATTCCAGATGATAATCAGAACTTAAGATCAATTAAAATGTTTGTTTTTATATTGAATTAAGATAAAATCAGGTGGCATCGATCCTTATTCACAACACTACCAACGTTGTTTTTTTATTATAACTATTAAAAACACTTCTATTCAGTGTTACTTATACAATGAAAACATTAGAGAATTTCGGTTTTAAATTAACTTGAATAATTCATGCTTTATGATTAAGAAACTCTAACGTTAAACAATTTCAATTAATATACTTCTTATAGTTAGTAGTTTTTTTAGCAAGGTTCTTTTTCAGGGAGTGAGGTTCCTAACCTCACGTTCAAACTCTCTTCTTCACGTGAGTTTGGGATCGGTAGTAACATTAGACTGGATTTAGGAGAAGTTTTTAAGTATTCATCTAATAATTAATTAACGCGTTCGGTTTACTTGTACGATCCAAAAGATTTGAAGAAGAAGGAGAAATGAGTTTACTATAAAATCATATTTTATAATGTACGATTATGAATGCTTCTGTCACAGTCATAAAGATTGGTCGAACCCATTGAAGAAGTTAATTGACTTTTCTGGATAGTGCTTTATTTACTCAAGTGACAAACATAATCAAACTACGATGTGTGTTTTCATTAATTAACAGTTTTATATTGAGACCCCATGGACACTGTGCATGGATCTATAAGTATTGTGAGGAAAAAAGGATGCCGCTTATTTTGGGATATATACGCTACATGCACACCTAAAATAAGTAAGTCAGATGGTCCTATGCATTTTATAGCACATAGATAGGCATAAGTGAGTTTGTAGTATCTGTCACATGTAAAAGATTGGTTAATCCGAAATTACAGAAGAGTAATGGATTAGCATCCTTTCCATCATACCTTTGTGTTAATTAGTGGAACATAGTTCTGTTATTCCCCCTCGAACACTATGTGAAGGTATGAGTTGAATTTCATTCAGTATAATAACTGGTAGTTGACCATTAGTATTAGTAAAAAGAGTTATTAAAAAAACGGACATATTCCTTATACTACTTAATGAACAGCAATTCACGAATAAAATAATAATAAACGACAACAATTTCGAAATTTTAAATGTAGTAGCAGTAGTATTAGTAGTATGGTGTGTGGTACTGATGGATGTATCACCAAACGAAAGTGGAATGCCTGGTTGCAGGAAGTTGAGAAGATCGAAGAGAAGAGAACGAGAACAGAGAGTGATTGGTAGGGAGACGAAAGAAAAATAAAGTCTGAGGCAATTGATGGATATTTTGCAAAAGAAGTATTTACTGTATATTTCCCAGAATTTACTAAGAAATTCTGTAATAGTAGTAGTAGTAGTAGTAGTAGTAGTAGTAGTAGTAGTAGTAGTAGTAGTAGTAGTAGTAGTAGTAGTAGTAGTAGTAGTAGTAGTAGTAGTAGTAGTAGTAGTAGTAGTAGTAGTAGTAGTAGTAGTAGTAGTAGTAGTAGTAGTAGTAGTAGTAGTAGTAGTAGTAGTAGTAGTAGTAGTAGTAGTAGTAGTAGTAGTAGTAGTAGTAGTAGTAGTAGTAGTAGTAGTAGTAGTAGTAGTAGTAGTAGTAGTAGTAGTAGTAGTAGTAGTAGTAGTAGTAGTAGTAGTAGTAGTAGTAGTAGTAGTAGTAGTAGTAGTAGTAGTAGTAGTAGTAGTAGTAGTAGTAGTAGTAGTAGTAGTAGTAGTAGTAGTAGTAGTAGTAGTAGTAGTAGTAGTAGTAGTAGTAGTAGTAGTAGTAGTAGTAGTAGTAGTAGTAGTAGTAGTAGTAGTAGTAGTAGTAGTAGTAGTAGTAGTAGTAGTAGTAGTAGTAGTAGTAGTAGTAGTAGTAGTAGTAGTAGTAGTAGTAGTAGTAGTAGTAGTAGTAGTAGTAGTAGTAGTAGTAGTAGTAGTAGTAGTAGTAGTAGTAGTAGTAGTAGTAGTAGTAGTAGTAGTAGTAGTAGTAGTAGTAGTAGTAGTAGTAGTAGTAGTAGTAGTAGTAGTAGTAGTAGTAGTAGTAGTAGTAGTAGTAGTAGTAGTAGTAGTAGTAGTAGTAGTAGTAGTAGTAGTAGTAGTAGTAGTAGTAGTAGTAGTAGTAGTAGTAGTAGTAGTAGTAGTAGTAGTAGTAGTAGTAGTAGTAGTAGTAGTAGTAGTAGTAGTAGTAGTAGTAGTAGTAGTAGTAGTAGTAGTAGTAGTAGTAGTAGTAGTAGTAGTAGTAGTAGTAGTAGTAGTAGTAGTAGTAGTAGTAGTAGTAGTAGTAGTAGTAGTAGTAGTAGTAGTAGTAGTAGTAGTAGTAGTAGTAGTAGTAGTAGTAGTAGTAGTAGTAGTAGTAGTAGTAGTAGTAGTAGTAGTAGTAGTAGTAGTAGTAGTAGTAGTAGTAGTAGTAGTAGTAGTAGTAGTAGTAGTAGTAGTAGTAGTAGTAGTAGTAGTAGTAGTAGTAGTAGTAGTAGTAGTAGTAGTAGTAGTAGTAGTAGTAGTAGTAGTAGTAGTAGTAGTAGTAGTAGTAGTAGTAGTAGTAGTAGTAGTAGTAGTAGTAGTAGTAGTAGTAGTAGTAGTAGTAGTAGTAGTAGTAGTAGTAGTAGTAGTAGTAGTAGTAGTAGTAGTAGTAGTAGTAGTAGTAGTAGTAGTAGTAGTAGTAGTAGTAGTAGTAGTAGTAGTAGTAGTAGTAGTAGTAGTAGTAGTAGTAGTAGTAGTAGTAGTAGTAGTAGTAGTAGTAGTAGTAGTAGTAGTAGTAGTAGTAGTAGTAGTAGTAGTAGTAGTAGTAGTAGTAGTAGTAGTAGTAGTAGTAGTAGTAGTAGTAGTAGTAGTAGTAGTAGTAGTAGTAGTAGTAGTAGTAGTAGTAGTAGTAGTAGTAGTAGTAGTAGTAGTAGTAGTAGTAGTAGTAGTAGTAGTAGTAGTAGTAGTAGTAGTAGTAGTAGTAGTAGTAGTAGTAGTAGTAGTAGTAGTAGTAGTAGTAGTAGTAGTAGTAGTAGTAGTAGTAGTAGTAGTAGTAGTAGTAGTAGTAGTAGTAGTAGTAGTAGTAGTAGTAGTAGTAGTAGTAGTAGTAGTAGTAGTAGTAGTAGTAGTAGTAGTAGTAGTAGTAGTAGTAGTAGTAGTAGTAGTAGTAGTAGTAGTAGTAGTAGTAGTAGTAGTAGTAGTAGTAGTAGTAGTAGTAGTAGTAGTAGTAGTAGTAGTAGTAGTACAAATGAACATAAACTGGAAAATCAACAAAAATCGCAGTATGATGGATATTTGTATCGTTTTAATCCTTCTATTTGTAAATCTTACGACTAAAAAACATTGAAATAATGTGTAAGCAACTGTTTAATCTTTAACACAAAGTTTAAAATGAAAAGTATATAGAATAACAACCCTTATTAATAACCTTTTTCAACCAGCATCATTCCTGTTATTAGTAGTGCGAACAATGATTCTGTTTTGAATAGAATTTATATTGCAAATAAGATTTTCAAATTTCAGAATACGAAACTGTCTTTTACGGAATGAATCAAGTCAGTATTAGGGTTTTTTTAATATCCATTATTTTAGGTGAAAATAACTTTATTTCGGAAATAAACTGAAAATAGAACATCTGAACTACCTGGTTTTGATCAAGTGCATTTGAATGGTTTCGTGATGGATTTAAACTATGAAGAAATCACCATTTCAATTTAATAATGGTAATATTGACATTGTATACTACTGTGACAACTATGATGAAATACCATTTCGATGTCCTTGTTTGTTTTGAAAAAAATTTACAATGATTCCTCAACTAATGTTAGTAGCACAAAACCTAGGTCCAGGGTTTCCCACTGACTACCTACAACCACCATCTTGTTTCATTTATTTTTTCAATAGTTGAGATCATGTGTCAATTGAAGCTAGATGATCATGGAAAACCTGGAAGCACTGAACGGCCGTTTCATCCATGGTGGTTTAGCTTCAGTTGACTCATGATCTCATCTATTGAAATTACCTTGGCGTTTTTTAGCAAGTTAATTTTCTACGGGATAGTGTCACTAACACCATGCCCAACCCTCCTCCTTTATCCGAGCTTGGGACCGGCAGTAGCCCCAAAGGGGCTCCAGGTGAAGCTTTTAAATCACTATAATATCCACAAAAACTCTTCTGATATTACCCATTTCCTTTTGTTTGAAAAAATTCGTATTATTGTTTACTGAATATTCGAATGTTTATTTTTTTTGATAATTAATTAATTTCAGAAGGGGTTTGTGGAGATTTTAGAAATTTTCACAGATTGAAATTATGAGTCATATGAAACTAGACCACTATGGAGAACCTGGAAGCACTGAACCCCCGTTTCGTCCTAGTATGGGACTCCCCGGCAGTGCGCATCCACGAACGCGCCCCCCACGTGATTCGAACCCAGAACCTATCAGTTTCGCGTGCAAGCGCTTAATCATTAGACCACTAAGCCGGTCGTCATCCAACAGTGTTAATGTCTAACTCCAACCAATCCACGAAATCGCACCACCGTACACCATTGTCTTTAGTGAGTTGATATCTCATAACAAACCTGGTTGAACTCCACTGGTAAGAGCTTTTCACTAGAACTCCGGGAGTATTTCTTGAATTCAGTTATTAATGAGCAGATGATTATTATCAGAAGGGGTTTTCCATAGTGGTCTAGCTTCAATTGACTCATGATTTCAATCAGTGGAATTAATTAATTGATTATTTAATAGTAAATGTATTTCAAATTACTTTACATGTAATTAGATTTATTGATAATGTCTAATTTAATACCATAAACATGGAATTAAACGTGAATTTGGTTAATTTTTTTTTTAACATACAACAAACTTGTTCAAACTAAACCCATGTTATTACGTGTATACATTTATATATACTTTTGATATACATGAAAGATTATTATTTTTAGCAAAAGTTTTTATAAATATGACGCAATAAATATGAAATTTTCACTTTTTATTATTTTTTTCCTCCCAAACAGCTTCTGATATGTAATAGAGAGGGGAGGTGTAATTTTACTACTGGAAAGTATGAAATGGATTAAAAGGATTACAATAGAACTTATTAGAACTGGCTAATTGTATATGAGGTAGGGAAGGGGTGGTGTGAATTTGAATTCGGTAGTTAATTTTCATTTATTATCGAATCTTTTCATCTTTTTCTTTCATACATATACACATTAATGAATTCATGTTGTGTTTTAATTAATTAACTCCAGGATTAATTATTTCATTGATACTGGTCAACAAATAATGATACTGTTGAATTATTATTGTTTATGTAAATACAAGATGATAATAATGATGATGTTGATCATTTTGTACAGAAAAAGAAACAACAACAACAACAAAGAATGTGATAGTAGCAATGAATTAAAAATAGCCGATCATGTAATTATCTTATACAACGATCACGTGCTATGTGACTAATACTCAAAATATTATTCAACCTAATAAAACGTTAAACTTTCAAAGTTAATTAAAGCACAGTCTTATGTTCTTACTTCCATTTCGACAATAATAATAATAATAATCCAAATCTCTTTATACCTGATCACTTTCATCTCCATCTTCCAATACTGTTCATTTCAATTTTTAATGTTTTTCCCCTGAATCTAATCTCATGTTAGTTGGATTAATTTCTAATTTAACTATTTTACCACCAAAAAGTCATCCTGTTTGACACGTGTTTATAATTAAAAAGTATAAATATAAAAGAGAAAGCTTCAATTCATTGAATTGAATGAAAATATTAACACTAATTCACTTTATTCGATATGAGCCAATTTCATGTTTATTTTATACTCAATTTTATTTAGAAGAAGAGAGAAGGGAACAGATAACAATAAGGATCTCTGATCTTATAATCAATATTAATGTTTACAGTTAATCTTCTTATGAGAACTTTTAAATTTAATTAAGTATTTGATAAGAATCATGAAAATAGTAATTTTCATTTTATTATTGATTAATATTTCCCATTCATTAAATGAATATTTAAGTATTGAACAAGTATATTTTTCACTGATTGAAATTATGAGTCAGTTGAGGCTAGACCAGCATGGAAAACCTGGAAGCACTGGATGGCCGTTTCATCCTAGTATGGGATTCCTCAAAAGTGTGCATCCACGATCCCGCCCCCCCGCGAGATTCCAACCCAGAACCTATCAGTCTCATGATTTCAATCAGTGAAATTTCTAAAAAAATCTCCACAAAACCCCTTTTGACAAGTATATTTTTGTACATATATTTGGAATATACAGTTATAATGTAAATAGTTGAATACTGCTTATATTATTGAAGTAGATTCTTTCCATCCCATTATAGTGATTAGATATTTATTTCATGTTAATTAGGCTTATTTATACATTTTATTCAACTGGATCGATTTTATCAACTGGAGAACAGTTAAAAATCAGGAGGTATTAAGTGGATGTTTCAGAATGATTTGGAATTCCTTAGAAATGAGTTTTTTTGTCTTTTCTTTAGATTAAAAGCATCATTAACTGTTCTTTCAGCGAACATAGTTCTATTCAATTCCTTATTAATAATCTAATAATACAAACGTACAACTTTACTCGACTTCAATATGATACTACTGTTGTTTAACGTAATTGCCTACAAATATGTAACGTCTGTACTCATAACGGCTCATTAGAACTTCAGGAAATTCATCTAACTGACTTTGATTGTAATATAAAAAGGAAGATTATTAGATTTCAAATTCCTGGTTCTAAGTTAATGGATTTATTGAAAGATCTGATTGTTTAAGATACAATCTATACTTCAATCATCAGTGCAAACCACTCATGAATCTGAAACGAAAATTCACAAACTACTTACCTCCTCTGTGACTTTCAATAGTTCTTTAATTAATACCAGTCAGTTCTAATAATGATGGATATGTTCTATTCATTTGTCGGGAAAAACGATGGATAGTTATTTGTGGAGAATTTATCAACTACATCACTATCGAATTAATAAAAAAATTAACTCTATCAAATACATTTATTATGACTGACCTGAATTCAGATGAGGAGGATTTATAACTTTAAAGTATTTTGACAATGAAAACTGAACGACAAACACAAGGGGAGTTTGAACAAGACAAGAGGGAAGATAGAAGCTCATGGCAGATAAGGATTTTATACACTCTCTAAAACATGACAACTTATTAGTCAAATATACTTATTTGTATACAGGCTTTTGCAAATCCTAGCTATGTTACATAACTGACATAGTGGGAATTTAGTAGGATTCTGCACTGGAATTGTACAACCGAATGTTATACTGTACACATATCACGATATTTTAGAAAGATGAATGATACTCTTTTACATTTAATTGATCATCAAGTATTGATCATTGTCATACATGTCAAATGTTTATTTAGTGCTGATCGAATTCTAACGATAAAGTTGTGATGTGGCACTAGTCTATGTGGCTCACTATATTGAAGGTAATCGTCAAGAAACCCCGAATTTAGGTCTCATGCTATTTAGCACTCTTCAGTAAGGTGTGGCGGTAATTTCGAGCGAACTGATAGTTTCTGAAGCATTCAACTCCCTAAAACTTCAGCTTAATAGAATAACCCACTGTATAGTCATTACGATGAGTCAAAATAAAATCTCATGTTTTATCTTGTCCTAACATGAAAAAATCAAGTTTAATTTTAAATATTAATCGAAAGCTATTATTACATTATTGAATGGTTCAAAGTTATCAAATGAATTCAATCTAAATAATCGAACTGGTGTAATTTTTACAACTCATCAGCTATGAACTAGCATAAAATTCTTCATTCACACTGCTGATAATGTATTTTATGTTTTAAATGGATTGAAGTAGTCGCTCAGTGAGCTTATTTATCACTACAGTCAGTGTTAGTAAATATCACTAAGATGGGGAGACTAGTGAGTACCTCAGAGAAAGAAAGAAAAATTAAGAATATAAGTTTCACTGAAGTTACAGATAAAAATTTCTTAACAAGAATAACACACTAACCAATCTGAACCGAGTGATATTTATTTTTGGTCACAGAGCGACAGTAGTTAGCCGAAAAGCTCACTGGTAATGTCTCTAACTGGGTGATGTGGCCTTGGATCTCATAGAGAGTATCAATTTAAATCAACAATTCAGATGATCCTTGCTGATGAATGCCAGATGACCAAAACACTTTGATTATACTGGTTTATTTATTGACTGCTTTCAATCACC